GAACTTCCATCTCAGAGAATTAAAACTTGGAGCGGGCTTTGATTGGCCGCTCTAAAGGCTGATTACCCCGTTGTTTTGTTTACGCCTCTGCCTTTCATGCTACAGCGACTGGGAGCAGATGGAAGACACACTCTGCAAAGGGAATTCTAAAGATCTGAAAGCGTTTTAGAAACAATTAAAATCTTTGATGGTTTAATCTGTTCACATCAAAAGCAACAATCTCTGTTTGATTTTCTGCTGATGACACAGTAGAAAATGGATCCCGCCAACTGTTGTAAACACAGCGCAAAGCGTAGCCTACAGACACAATCAAGCCACCGCAACGTAATTAATCAGGAATGGAAATGAGCGCATAAACAATCAGTGGTGATATTAAAGATGGATGAGTGTAGGCAGTCGTCTCCTTGGGAAATTATAACTTTTTGTTAGGTCCAATACAATAGTGTAAGTTACTGCTGCCAACATTTTACAATTGCAAGCTGTGGAAGAAGTCTGGAATAGACACAAAACTGACTTTTTTAACCTTGTTTTAATCATTTTCAATTCAATTCAATTTGTTTTTGTATAGCCCTTAATCACAACAGTAGTTATCTTGGAGGACGATTCGCCAACACAGATCAGAGAATCAAACTTGCATTGCATTTTCACAAGCAATGCAATGTTAGATAGAATAAAAAACACATAGATCCAAGGGGCAGATGACCAATGTCCATGTCTTGGATCATCACCACTGTCCATGGACCCTCCTGCATCGGCAAGGTAACGCTCTAAAAACCCAGTGGGAGAAAAGTAACTTTGTGGAGGCCTACGTTGAGCGAGGGATTTGTCCTAACAATTGGACGGGCCACAGATCCAGGACTGATGTGGCAGTCCTGGATCAGGTACAGATGTAAGAGGCCAGCTTCAGGTGTCCCATCATCACACAATGAACCAGAGACAATTGGGCAGCAGGTGAATTACAAAGTTCCCATCATCAAAGCAGAAATACACTTGAATAGCTGGTTCCTCGCCTGACCAGCCAGGCCCTTGTACATTCTGACCCATGTGATCAGATGTATTATTACAAAACTGTGTGCTTCTGGCTGGTCAGGTTTGCTTCTTCCATGATAATATCAGTAAATGTCTACACAAACTCCATCCCTCACTCACACAGAACATATTATTTATTTTGTCTCTTTCAATACACCTATAATTGATTTACTGTCGTTAGTAAACAACTGTGTAAGAATGATACAGTAAGACATTGATGTAGCTGTTGTCTGTATGCATGTACAGTATATGTGTGTAAGCAGGTGTAAAGCTGAGATTTTAGACTATTTCAAGGGTGTCCAGGCCCCAAATGCGATTTTTATTGCTAACTGCCAGAGGTGGGACCAACTCATTGTTTTGCAAGACACAAGTTAGTCTCAAGTCTTTGCCTTCAAGTCCCGAGTCAAGACAGAAAAGTACCGAGTCAAGTCCCAAGTCAAGACCTACAAGTCTCAAGTCAAGTCCCAAGTCCTATCGTTTGAGTTTAGAGTCCTATCGAGTCCTTTTAAGTTTTTAGTTGTCGCGTGTCCGTCTGTAATCTTGCTCCTGCATGTTTTACAAACTGCAATACTTTTTTTGTTTATCACCCCATAGTTTTTTTACCCAAACAAAACTACCATTGGTATCATTTTTGCCTACTGATTTTTGCGTTTAGTTTGTTCCTCTTTATTGGTTGTCTCGTACTTTGATTGGTTGGATGCTGTCAGGTCGAAACAACGTGGATCTAATTTGATTGGATGTCGTGCCATACACACTTCATGCTGCATGAATCACGCAAACAGACGCACACAGACTCACACAGATTCACACAGATGCATACAGGTGCAAAGAAAGAGTGATCCAAGTCGAGTTGCAAGTCTTTTAAGATTTTGTTAAGTCGAGTCTAAAGTCATCAAATTAATGACTCGAGTCTGACATGAGTCCAAGTCATGTGACTCGAGTCCACAACTCTGCTGTGCCACCCATTGACAATATCTCAACTCAACTTGTCATGTTAAGGTAAAAACAATACATTGGATCACTTTTTAGAACCATTATTAACACAAATACTATTGTGCCTATAGAGCCAAGTTCAATACAAACACTTTGTTTGTATTGTCATTGCTTTGTTCAAATCTGGCTGCGTGCCTGTAGGTAAAATTCCAATTGCCATTCACATTTTGTCAGTGCATACAAGTGTTTTCCCAACTACCGTTTCCCAAATGTACTTTCCATAAACAAGTCTTATCGACGCCCGCTTCGGTGGGAAGTAGCTGCACGCGTTGGCTGACCTCACTCTTTGGAGATTCGCACCGGCGCTGTGTTTACATTTGTCTAAACGCAGTGTAAATTGAATTCTCCTGTATGTCCCCGACAGTGAGTACAAGTGTAAAGTGACGTGTACAGAGTTGTACAGCAGGCCTCCTTTGGGATAGTCTCTCCAAAAGCCAATCCACCTCCCTCCCCTCCCACTCACCCCCTCTTATTGTTCCATCAAGCCTCCCAACGACGTTCGCCAGAGAAAATAATCAATATTGCACATGGCAGGCCGCATCCGGTAAGACTCCGCTGTAAATTAACTTGACAACAGCGATGAAAAAGGAGGACAGGGCACGTTGGATATCTGTTTGTCTCCTCAGAAGGAGTACCAAACGGGGAACAATTGAATGCAAAGTGCTCGTTTTCTCCAGCACTTTTCTGCAAGCCAAGCCCCTCGCCCCTCCCGACCCCCGGAGATCAGAAGGTGACACATCAAATAGCCTGTCACGGGAAAAGAAAAGCCAGTAATGGTTGGCAAAGGCGCGGCAGCAGTTTTAGCTTCTCCACTGGGCGCCTAGCATTGCTCCCCTGTCTTCCAGTTTGGGGTATCAGAGGAGGCGAGAGCAGACGGAGGGGATTTGATCTTGATGGCTGCGTGACATTTCGGGATGAGGGATAGCGGTTAGAGCCGAACAAGGGGCTGATCAATGGGGCGTTCAGACAGGCCCCGATGCGAAAGTGGAGTTATGGGATTGGAGCTCGGAGAGGCACACGGCACTGTCTGCATTTGCCGAAAAAGACACTCTTCACTTTTAGGGTGCATACAGAGACGGCCATGACAGCTGACTGCACTGACCTGCCGACCAATTACCTATCCCTTTGTGATTATGGACCAAAACCAGCTTTGAAGTCAGTGCTCTTACTCAAATCCCAAACAAGGCCGAGTCCGAATATAATCACAATATTGTTGAAAGGACATTGGTTTGCTCCCACAACCCGGCAATGGATAAAGCTGAAGAAAATGGATGGATTAATAGACAGTTTATGGCTTTTGTCCAGTGTTGTCCCATGCCATCCTGTGTGGAGATTGCAAGTTTCTTTGGAATTTCTGGGTGGGTTCCCTCTGGGCCCTACGGTTTCCCCTACCACTACATGCACTATATTTAAAATCTGGACATGGGTCCCATCCCACTGCTGCTGACAGGCTCTTAGTGGCATTGGAGGATGGGTCAAATATAGAAGGCAAAAAAAACCTTGAATTTATAAATACGAGTTTTAATTATATACTCATATTGTATTAAGAGTTTACCCAACAAAAGTAACTAAGTAGAAGTCCCTATACTGTTCAATTACATTTTCCACTTATGAATTCTGCTCCAAAACCAAACTTATGCAGCAGAAAAGTAAAATGGCGTTTCAGAGCGAAAGTTCCCCAGGCCGTGATCTCTGAAGTCACCGTCTCTGTAAGCTGAAGCAGCAGAACTGTCAGCTCACCTTTCACCAACGTTAGTCAGATTTGAAACACTTTAAAATATGAATGATCAGGTCACAGACATAACCTGCAGAAGTTTGATGACTATAATGCTCAACTATAGACAGCTAAGTCGAAGTATGTTGGAAAATAGGAAAGGAATGAATAGAACATAAGGATGTACTGACAGTGCGATTTTGACAGGTGATCCTTTGACTTCTTCTACTATATCCAGGAAATGGGTTTGTTGAAAATGATTAGATTACAGTTTTAGTTACAATATACACATCCTAGACTTTCAGTTTTGCAAGGCTTTCTGGGTTCAACTTTTGGCATTCATCTGTGTGGAAAGGTGGGTTACTCTCTTTTGTTGTCTCTTTTTAAAGCCACAATTACTGTTATTAGTAAGTAAGTAGTAAGTCATCTTTATTTATATAGCACATTTCACAGACCAAGGTCAAGTGCTTTACAATGTTTTGTTTTTTTCCAATATCATCCCGGGTTTAAGATAAGATAAACTTTATTGATCTCACAATGGAGAAATGTATATGTCACATTTGGCATATATAGAATTACTCTATTTGTTATGCAAAAAGACAGGAAGTGTGCAAACATGTTAAAAGGTTAAAATATAATCTATTTTGTGCAACATGTATGTACAGTATGTACAATAAGATTAAAAGTGACTATAGCAGTGTGAGTTTTTGAGTCCTAGTGCAGGGCATTATTGACTTATTGTGCAGTCTGACAGAGGTGGAGATAAAGGTTTATTTTTTAGCTATCACACTGTTGTTTTTTCTTGAATTTTTCATTCATTTACATTCACCTGATAGACGCCGTGTCCTCATTGGCCATTTTTTATTCCCCGGCAAATGTATTTTTTGTTCCAATGTCAAATGTCTGTGTGCAGAAAATAATTTCTTCTTTGGAACAATGTTAATGCTAATATTAACAGTCCCAAAATAAAGTAGGAAAAACATGCCTCATTTAATATTGAAAAAAAAATGGATGAAAGATGCGTAGATGTTTTGTTGTAAAACCTGATATACACATTACTCAGTAGGTCAAAAAGTGAATGTTGTATACTGTGATACAAACAGTTCAAAGCAGTTGAAGAAGGTGATTGCAACATCCAGCCTATAACTGCAGTGATATTTCTGTCCTTAAATCTTTGACCCACTCAGACCCCGCTAACATTTTTTCTTCTTTTCGAGGTTACTTTGCCAGATCGGGGTCGAGAGCTTTTCTCAGAGACATGGGTTTATTTCGTTATAGGTCCCTCCTTTTCGCTGTCACTGAGCCCCATCAAAGAGCTCCAGATGAGACAACCACTGGAGCAACCCCCCAAGTACAGAGCCACCAGCATGCCACGCTCCCTCGGGTACCCGGTCACCGAAAGCGGAAGCACGCTAAGGATCAAATGCCAACAAGTACGGCAAATCAAAGGGCGAAGGCGTGTGTGTGTGTATATAGGGCATGCACCTTTTACCATTTCGAGGCAGCTGCAGAGGTAGCCAACACTTTCATTATGGACGTAATAGAGACACGACCAAGGTCACCAAGCAATCATCGAACTGACACATCGCCCACCAGGCAGGAAAGAGGGCTTCCGAGCACCGCGGGCCGCCAGAGCTGTCTTCCACATAACAACGGCAGGCGAGAGAGAGAGAATGAGAGAGGCCAAAGGCAATGTCACGGGCCACCTCTACATCGATAAGAGCGCAAAGCAGCGGTAACAGAGCTTTCTCAAGGCACAAAACACGCCGCATGTTGGGCGGATGTGCGGACAGAGAGCTGACATGTGTCCAAACAGGAGACAGATGTAGGTTACGAGGGCCGAGGCGTGCTGGCAACATGTGCTCCCGACCCATTCACACCTCCGATACACGGCGTTTCGACTAATGTGAGGAAAGGGCCACACACAGCATGATTCAATGAGGGGTATATAGATTTGTTTTGTGTGCAGTTTATTTTCAACAACGGCAAGAATTGGAGCTGCCAGGGGACTGAGTGGAGTTTTTTTTTTATCATTATTTTTCTCAAGGACACAGTATTTCAGAGTAAAGTTGTTTGTAAACCCAGATATAGTGTATTTTTCAGCATTATGGAGAGTAAAGTTGCTCTATCGGTGGAGATAAAAGTGAGTGTGAAAATCTGCAGACACAAAGTGACAAATTCAACTCCACAGAAGTGTCAGGGTTGCCAGATTTCACACAATATTGAGAAGAAAATCTCTAAAAAGAAAAGAAAAAGTATGCTGATTTTGAGTGGGACCAAATATAACTATAGGAGCCACATAGTGTATTCGCTGTGTGGAGAAGACACAGTAGAGGATATGACGTCATGGGCAGAGCTTCAGTCAAATGAAGTTCCTGTGCTGTGCCGTCATATGCATTGTGTAATGTTAGCATCTCATCTCTCTTTTTAAAGCTAAGGACTCAAGGAACACGTAGATATGATGTTTGTGGGGCAAAACAAAGCTCAAACTTGGTGAAATGTGAAAGAGAAGCCTGAACATTTTTCAGAGAGTTTTTTTTTTGCAACAGAAAAATGCACATTTTTGGATTATTTCTGAAGAATGGATTATACTTTGGGAAATACAAGTGGATATTCTTTTTCACTGAAGACTTACGGAGAGAAAGAGACTAAGCAAGGATGGGGAAAGTCTAATTTGTAGGAGCAGCAGAAGACAAAATGTAAGAAACTTATACAAACACGTCTTATTTTGTGCCCATATTATGCGTTATATCTTTTTAATGCAAAGTCTGATATCGTTCACAAGAAAATAAGCTTTAAAATGATATATAGCTTGTGGATTATGAAGTTCAAAATACATCTGCTATTGCCAGCAGAAGTATTTTCTTTCTCGTTTGCGAGCTTAAGAGGTTAATTTCCAACTAATTTATAATACATTTAATTTCTCATTACTATAGATTCTGCCCTATACAATGGTCACCTTATTCTACTGTCACTTTAACCTGCACTGTTGAATGTCTATTGTGTGTACTTAGTGTGAACTTATAGTAGAAAGGTAATGACCTTTTTATGCATGCCACTTTATGCAACCACATTATGCATTCTATACACAACCATGGGTATTTATTTGTTCAAGTTTTATTTTTAATTAATAATCTAGAAGCAAATAGGGATTAAATAAGTTTCTACTTCTTCCCACTCCCTTGAAATGAGACAATTTATTATTATTATTTTGTTATTTATGCATACTGCTTATCTATGTTCAATTAGATATTATAATTGTATTTATTTTGGTTTTTTTCTTAAAAATGTATTCATAGATACATTTATATAAACACCAGGTGCCACAGTGAGGCGGCTGTAAAGTGCCAAACTGTTGTGTCCTCCTTAGGCAAGACACTTAACCCAGATTGCCTAGAATGACTCTGGTGTTGACTGGTAGTGGTCAGAGGGGCCAATTGCACATACTGATTGCCTCGCTTCTGTCAGTGTGCCCCAGGGCAGCTGTGGCTACAGTAGTAGTTTTTCACCTCCGTGTATGGAATAATGACATGTGAGGCATCTTGAAAAGCGTTATAAAACCGATACATTATTATTATTACATTTGTCTTTGGGTATCTTGTTTTGGTTACTCGTAAATCTAGTTTTGTAACTAGTCAAGTACGAAAGGAAAATAAAAAAGATGAATGAACACATACAGTAAATAAAGAATTACGTAGAGCCATCGAACTAATGGGCAGAACTGTATATTGTTCATGTGTTCTTTAAATATAATCACGGAATCCAGTTTGTTCCTGTTCCTGGAGATACAGCAGTTCTTACAGAGTGGAGTTAGCAGGTAGCAGGCCTGGTTCCTCCCCGCAGAGCGACCCTGTGATTAGTGAGGCTAATGAAGGCTGGTGCAGGCCCGCTGTCCCGCCTGACCTCTGGGCCTCTGGGCAGGGGGAACGCTGGACTTCCATAGTGTTGAACATGATTCTGTGATACTGCCATTAACCCTGCTCCGCTCCCCCCCTGGATCACATCTGCTCTCAGACTGGACCCAAACCAAGTCTCCGTGGGCTACAAGACTAAATACCAGGGTCCATGGGTAATTAATGCACATTATGCTTTAACTAGCCTCACGGTACGCTCAACCTTCAGCAGACAAGGCTTAAGTTAATTGAAATGTCTAAAACGTATCACCACTGCAGACTGTTGCACCAAATTGGAAAAATAAAAAAGCTATTAGAAGTAAATTTGAAGGAATGTTTATGGATATGACAAGTATTTCAAGCAGTATTCAGCGTCTGTCTTGTCATATACAGGCAGAAATGGGAATTCACAGCTGTCCAGGGCAGTGTTCCCCAACCTTTTTTAGCCAAGGCAAACCACCAACTGAAAATGCATACAATATTAATCCGTACAATATTAAAAATGAAAAATCATTCCCATCAATGTGTGACATATAGAAAAGCACAATCAAAGTCCTAATGCAAATGAGTCCTTGATGAAGTCTAATTACTTTCTTTTCACATTATTTCGTTTGGTGAAGTGGTTCCTTTGGAGTTCTTCTCTGTATGCTCTGCTTTGTTGGCACTGCTCATATTGTTCTCCGTTGGCCTCAGACGTCGCTCTCGATATGTTGAGAAACCCTACAAAATAATAGCATCAATTGTATATGGCGCTTTATTAATTACTCAAAAATGCTTCACGTGTCATTTTTCTTTCTCTCCATACACAGTGGTGATAAACTACTACAGTAGCCACAGCTGCCCTGGGGCACATCGGCAGAGGTGAGGCAACCAATGTGTGCCAACACCAATCATTCACACACACACACCAGACTCATTCTGTCAATGTGGGTGAAGTGTCTTGCCTTTTGACACAACAACAGTTCGGCACTATACAGCAGCAGCCAACCCCACTGTGGCACCTTCTGTTCCCAACTCAATTGTAAATGTATTTGTTTATCGCCCTAAATCACAATAGTAGTTATCTCGGAGCACAAAACTTCACCAATACAGATCAGAGAATCAAAAAGTTCAAACACCCAGGTCTCCCATCACAGCAGTAACCAGGCCCTGCCCTGCCTAGCTAGACAGTAATTGCGTTTAGATATGATGTCACATGTGCTGGTGAAAGTAAAGGGTCCTTCAAACATGATCTCCCATTGAAATGAACGAGCCCACTCAGAGTCATGCTTACAAGGCAACTCTTAAAGTGACGCAGAAATGTAATTGCAGTATTGTACTATGTTATTGTTATGGGATTTTAACACAATGAAAATGATACACACACCACTCTGTTTTTCCTAAAGTAAACAAAACTATTCTAGCTTTAATTTCGTATCTCCAAGAGCAGCTACTCTGTGTATCCATTACACAAATATACCTCTTAGAATTGTCTGATATGTTGTGTTTTGGCAAAACGAACACATTTCCCTCTTATTCTAAACTCTAAACACTCTTTGTTATGTTCCTCCTGGAGACATGAATCGGTAATGAGGGGTTTTGTGAGGCTGGTCGGAGGTTGTGTGGATTGTTTTACTGCCTTGAACATAAAAAATGCGATTCCAAAGTGCGTCAGGCGCCTCCCCAACTCTTCCTCTGTTTTAAGTGCGCTCAGACGCGGCGGATCCTCAGTCATTATCGGGCCTGTTGTTGTGAGTTTGGCCCAGCATGGTTCCTCTGGCAGTGATTACGCAGCCAGAGAAGACACCTGTCACGCGGCGATGTTACGAGCTGTCAAGACTGCCTACAGATTGGCTGCTTCTCATACAAACACCTATAGTAAATGACAAACCACATGTGTCTTTGTGTCTATGGAAAAAAAAAAAAAAAAAAAAAATACCCGCTTCGTAAACAAATGGTGAATTACAGACAGGGGTGGGAGGGAAGAAGGAAAAACAGGATTTGGATCATTCTGGCAACTGCAAATCACTGCATTCAAAGATGTGTGTTGTCAGCGGCGGACGATAATTGAGCAGTTGGGAGTTTTTTCTATGCGCGGAATATAAGCGGTGAATTATGTGCGATGACATATTTATACACAAGCAAAGCCATTTGATAGCCAGCAGTCACCATTACAGCGATAGCCTCACAGATGTGTGTCAAGCTCCACGTTTGAAATATGAATGCTCGGACATCCCAGTGGACAGGCATGTAGACATGATGGTCATTATCAACATCTGTCAAATGGAGGCGTATCTTTATTTGGACAATATCTGCACAGATTTAGTGGCATGTGGGAGAGCTATGTTTTACAGACTGGATGTTTAGGTTGCCAGAGATCTGCAAGATTGATATTTGACTAAGCTTGACAAATTAAAGCAGTTCTGGTTATGTACGAGTCTCTTCATGGCCTATTACCAAAGTCCATCTGTGACATGTTAGTGCCATATAACCCAACTCGGACTCTGAGGAGCACAGGGTCTGGACTCCTGCAGGGACTCTGAGGAGCACAGGGACTGGACTCCTGCAGGGACTCTGAGGAGCACAGGGACTGGACTCCTGCTGGGACTCTGAGGAGCACAGGGACTGGACTCCTGCTGGGACTCTGAGGAGCACAGGGACTGGACTCCTGCTGGGACTCTGAGGAGCACAGGGACTGGACTCCTGCAGGGACTCTGAGGAGCACAGGGACTCGACTCCTGCTGGGACTCTGAGGAGCACAGGGACTGGACACCTGCGGGGACTCTGAGGAACACAGGGACTGGACTCCTGCAGGGACTCTGAGGAGCACAAGGACTGGACTCCTGCTGGGACTCTGAGGAACACAGGGACTGGACTCCTGCAGGGACTCTGAGGAGCACAAGGACTGGACTCCTGCTGGGACTCTGAGGAACACAGGGACTGGACTCCTGCTGGGACTGAGGAGCACAGGGACTGGACTCCTGCTGGGACTCTGAGGAGCA